CGCAAATCTACCATTGTTCAACGAACAAATAAATTCAGAAAAAAAAACTCGTTGAGCATGAGATCGATCGTGAGAAGAAGGGCGGACAGGAAAGTAGTAAAACCGAATATTTTTCAGGCAAGGGACAAGCCCTGAAGTTGACTGAACCTCCTGTAAAAATATATATAGAAATCTAATAAAATGAATCAATAGTATATCACTTACAGAATGAATAAGAAAATATACCGCAAGACGAATGTGTGAAATAAAGCGCTTCGAATCTCGAAGAAGCAAAAGTTTTCATGTTTTTTTTTTACAATTGGCATGTATAACATGCCAATTAAATACTGTATTGACAAATTAAATTAGATGAAAGATCTGTGGAATCAATCAAGGCTTAAAGGAACCCCTCAAACAATTTGCTAGGAATTTCAACCCTGACTCGGAAAATGAATACATAATTACTTGAAATATTACGGAAACATTTACATTCAGCAGATCCCTCATGCAAAAACTGCGGGTTTCGCTTGGTAGATTTTGGGAATATAAAAAATGCAACAATTGTTATGGTTCAATTCCAAGCTTTAACTCTCTGCTTTCTCTCCAATTGAATTTTTATGAGCAAAACTTGGAGCACTGGCTGATCAGGAAAATGAAATTTCGCTGTGAAAAATGTACGTCCATCGTCAATCACACAAAAATACTTCGATAAGGAATGGGAGGGAATTCATAAATTGAAGCATCTGAAATTAACCCTCATAAATTATCACAAATTTCAGAATTTATCAACATTTTTTCGACATTACTCGGCAAATTTATATATCTCTGTAATAAACGCCTCATATGTGCCTATATGCGTCTAAAATCGTATTTTCTATCGAATCCTCTAGAGGAAAAAATACTCTGCGTCGACAGGAAAGATTCTAGATAATTATTCCAAAAAGCAGAACCCCGTGTGCACAGCAATTATCCTCCAAGATAATAGCTCAATTTTTACTCCGCGCGCTTTCTACGCTGCTGAGGGGAAAGAAACGGACGCGTACTTTTTCTTTTTTTCAACAAGCCAAGCATTTCATTCCGCACGCATAAAATCATAGGAAAATGCAAGAAAAAAATAACGAAGAATGAATGAATGCCTCTGGCTTTATTCAAAATATCGTACACGAATTCCGCGTCATCTTTCGTTTTTCGCAAGGAATTGCGATCCGTCGTTAGCTCGCGGTTCTCGCGTTCCGCTGCTGCGAATTTCGGGCGAAAGCTGCTGCTTCTGTTACAGCTCGCTAGCTTTCAGTTCTTTAGTCGTCGTCGTCACGCAATTTTTTTGTCCCTTTCCCCGTGTTTTTTTTGTTTTGTTTCCTTTTTTGGCTACGATCTCATTTATGTGTCCCCATCAGAAAGCATTTCAAGGAGATGGTATCTATCTAAGATAATCTCCGAGGTTATTATACTCGACAACACCACTTTTTCGTGGCCCGTATCCTGGCGAGACTCATCATCATTACCTATTTTATGCGCTTTTCAGTTAGCTGGGGGCTTTGCACTGGCTTGGCTAAGCCAGCGAAAACACACAAGAAAATACAAACTTTTGGCGTTTTTTTTTAGGGAAAAGCGTGGTACTGTACCTCAGTTAACGGACGCTTCAAACAGAGCATTTTTCTCACGATGTACTCGTGATGTACTGAATTTTTGCTTGCAGACCTTGATTTTGATTTCGGTTTCTTTCGCAGCACGTGCTGTGCTCATTATCATTCATCAAACATGAGCGAGGCAGGTTTCCTAAAATAGAATTGAAAGATTGCCGCTTTCTTTTTTTTTCAAGAAAAAGGACCGATTTCCCCAATTAATTCTGGCTCAATTTTTTTTTTCGACAACCCGTATCATGCGGTCGTTTAGTTGCTTCGACCTATAATACAGCCTACAGCAATCAAAAAACCCGTGGCGCAGATAAGTTCTTTCTCGGTTAAGAGTTTCTCTGCTTTTGTCCCAGATGAAAAGTGAACGGTGAAGAAACGATCTCGGTCCATGCTTTTCTGACCCGAATAACCAGAGGAAAACAGTACTTACTGAAAAAAATAAGTTCTTTCTCGGTTAAGAGTTTCTCTGCTTTTGTCCCAGATGAAAAGTGAACGGTGAAGAAACGATCTCGGTCCATGCTTTTCTGACCCGAATAACCAGAGGAAAACAGTACTTACTGAAAAAACACCTTTTTCATGAATTTTTCGTCATTCATAAAGATAACATTTGAAAGGAAAAACAGCGGAACGATCACCTTGGCACAGCAATTTTGAAAATTTATTTTCTTCCTCTGAAAATTCCAATGTGAATTTTTTTCAACATAGAGACGCTTTTTCTTGGGAATGCAAAAACAGGTAATTATTAGAATGAAAGGAAATTGTAGATGACCCTCTCCATGTACATCATACAATATGAAATATTTGTAAACATTTTCAACATTTTGGAATATTTTCCAGGCGTAGAGATCTCAGATTCTTTTAATCGAGCATCCTAGCTCAATCTTTATCCATACAAATGAACTTTTTTCAGATTTATATTTTACTTTTAACAATTACGGACGTACTCTTGAGTTGTTTTAGTAAAAGACGACAAGATGAAAACGATTCGATGAAAATGAAACATAGGTTTTATTCGTTGAGCGAGAAGTTGAAACCAATCAGATTTCATTCCGATTGTTGAAATTTACTCGAACTGATCTTTAAGTACACAACGCACATAAACGTCTTCAAGCAAATTCGAATGTCTTCCCGTTTTCAGTGAAATTTCTGAATAAAAATAAACTCATCAGTTAAAGTGCTGAACTCATCTGTTGAACATACAGTTTCAAAGTCGGATTTTTTGTGAAATTTCTGAAAAAATGCTCACTGGTTATTTCAAAGACGGAAATGCCAGATTTTTGAAGAAAATTGGTATCATAGGGTATACGAAGTATACCGTATTCATACGCACATCGGCCGCAACCATGAGATACCGAACAACAATTTTTGAATAAAACATTGTACAGCAAATTTGTATTCCACTCTGGCATAAAACATGGAGAATTTAAACAGACAAAATTTTTAATCCTTTGAAGCAATGTTTTAGCTCATGATACTGTAATACTGTATACAGTATTCGGCAAATTTTTGCCTATTTTCCGCGACCGCAATTTTTTTCCGTCTGCAAATATTTTCTTGTGAAAGTGCGTTGCGGTCTATACAAAAATATTTCCATTGTAGGACGCATCAGCGTTTTCCGAGGGTTCGGCCTTTGGATTTAAATTCACAACAACAACAACAAAAAAGATCTGATGAATACATAAAAAGCATCTCTGACTCCATAATCTTCACAAATGCTCTGCTTTACTTCTTACCGACCTTTTCGCGCAATTCTTGCCGATTCTATCTGCTGCTTTTTGTTGCTGCATGCGCGTAGATATTGCTTGAAAAACCAAATTCCTGCTTCTGACTCCGAGGGACGTCTTGGTGGTGGCTATTTTGTTTTGTTTTGTTTTCCTTTCTTTCTTTATTTTTCTCGACTCGCTCCTCGAAACCCCCGTGACGCTGGCGACACTCAGGCCTCTTGCTTACTGCTCGTCTTGGCCGAGCGAACAAGCGCCGAGGGGCTGCTCAAAAGCCTCTTTGGCCGATCCTCGGCCGCCAATCGCGCCAAGGCCGTCTCCCCGATAAACAAGGAACGTCAGAGCTACGACGGCTACAACGACCCCCAAGAACAGGCCTATGACGAGGACGACGTCCCGGTCCAAGACGAGGAAGCCAACCCGGGTTTCCTCCGTCGCATGACGACCGGCATTTCCAGCTTCTTCGGCCGCCTCATCCCGTTCCGGCGGCAAACCCGTCGCCGCCCTTTGTTCCGCCGCGAACCCGCCGAAGACTCCGCAGCCGTCGACGAGTTCTTCGCCGACTTCCCGACAGCTGAAAACGGGCCGCAAATCCGTCCCTCCGAGGACACGCGCCGGAAACGCAAGCGCGTCAGCGACGGGTCCCAGTCGTCATCTCAGTACCGTCGGCGCCGCCCGAATGACGGCAACAGCAACAACAACAACAACAACAAAAACCAGCGACGACAACAGCCGATAGAAGCTGACGATTCTCTGGCATTCGACGGTGACACGGAAGAGGATTACGGTGCGGTGGATCCGCGTCAGTCGTTGCAGCAGTTGCAAAACAGCCAGCCGGTGTATGATTATTCGGACCCCGAGTTGGGTTACCCCGATACCAGGGCGCAACCCGTGAACCCGTCGGGCTCGGCGACAGCAGGAGGCGGCCTTTTGTATCCGTCCGCCGAACAGCAGGGTCAGCAGAACTTCTACTCTGCGCAATACGGGTTCCAGGGAGACGCTGGCGGCGGGCTTTCGGCGCCGCAAGACGGCGAGGCGTCCGGGTCTTTTGCCGACGAAAAGGGAATGCCGATAGACCCAGTGACGATGTCGGCTACGACGACGGGAAGTAAATCTGGTGGTGCTGGGAAATCGACAGGTGCAGCGGGCAAAGGAAAACCTGCCGGCAATGACGGCAATTTCCCACCGGATGTTGAACGCGATTTTGCCGATTACGGCGACAAGGAAGACGCCTTCTTCGCATGAGGAAGGGATCAATAACTTCCCTGCTGACGATTTAAATTGTTTTCTTTTTTTTTTGCTTTGAACAAAATGACCCGTTGACCACGCACGACGCATGACGAAAAGGCTTTGAATAATCGCGCGATGCATTTTTTTAATCGAACGATTGATAATTGCCTGGCTGCTAATTGTCAATGTCAACGACGACAAAATCTCACACACAGCCCTAGAAAGGTTATATCGAGCTTGTCACTAACGACTTTCGGCGAAATCTTGCGGAATGTTTCTTGATGGCCCCTTGCTCCTAATTTATGTGGCGAATTGATGCAGGTGGACTACTTCTACAACGATAACCCGGGTACATCCTTAATACGAAGAATACCGTTGCAAACAAGCTGCTTAAAGATTGGCAGAAATAACCACAGAGAACCGCAAAATTTGCAATATGGCTGTTTGCAAAATCGTTGTGAAGAGAATTCACTTGCTTGGAGAACGCCTTTCAAAAACGTGACAGAAACATGTTCCTCTAGCCACTCATTCAAGGTGTTTCCAAGAATCTTGAAAATATTTCTAAAACGATATCCTTCAAAATACAGTAGCTTATTGGGAATGAAACAAGTTCATCCAGCCACTGATTCAAGGTATTTCCGAGACGATGAAATCTTTACAATATTTCTAAAAAGATAATCCTTCAAAAGATTTTTTTAAAGACATAGATAGGAATTTTCCGAACTTCAATCGTGGGCGAAAATTTCCGCTAATTAACAACGAAAGTCTCCATTAAGTGTTGCATTTTTGTAGGACGCCTGTGGATTTCAGAAAACAGCTGTAATCCTACATGGACGGACAAATTTGACCACACGAACTGACTCGCTTTCTGACATATTACGCAAACTGGACAATATTTCAAAACTGAACGACTAACTTGGCGAACAAGACTTGAAACGGACCCATGAAACAGAACAGACAGATTTCATTTCAGCATTCGAAACTTCTTTACGGAGAACTGGACACTATTTTTTGTTGTTGTTTTTTGTTTTCTGTGCAGGGACGAAATAGTTAATATTTATACAGTAGGTTCAGTAAAATTTCCCTATGCCAAGCTGTGATATACTTCACCAGAGCTCAATCTAAAAATACCAGAGAAAAAATTTGGACAGTATATACGTATTTAAGAATGATCTACAACCGACGTTTCTTTTGAGTTGCTGAAGAGACTGACCAAAGCATTGATTAACTCACGCAGTGACTGACGCTGTTAATGATGCAAACGCTGGCAAATTTTGGGTAGAAAACCTCGGACTGGACGCAATCAACTTCGCGGTAATGCGTTTGTTGTGGCCAAAAAAAAAACTTGAAAACTTGAAGCAGAACAGCTGGCAAATACGTCGTGATTGAACATGTCCAAAGAAGGCCAGACGAAAACTGTTTTTCTTTGTTTTGAAGAGAAGAAACAGACTGGATTGTTGAGTTTTCATAACAGCGGTGCGGCCTCGTTTCTTCTTTTTTTTTTCATTTGTTGATGCTCGCAGGAAATTGCATTCGTTATTGTTGTTGTTGTTGTTGTTAGAATCTGTGGTTACCATTACAATTCAAATCTTACTACTTTCTGAATCAGTGCGATTCTTCTGGGAGATTTTCATCCGAGTTCTCTCATTTGTTTTCGAAGACAACATAACGATTCATTGAGAATTTTGGGTGCATGATTTTGTATCAATAAATGCTATTTGGGATTCCACCAGCCGTCTTTTTGCTTTAGTTCCAGTATAGCAAATTTCCGTTATACTGTATCAGTAAAATTTTTACATTTAAGGGGAGTAAGAGTCGATTCTTCAAAACGTCCCAGATTAAATTCGCCGAACAGGGAAACGCCTGTTCAGCTGTGAAATCAATCTTAAACGAAATGTAATTGACTTCAGTATTTAAGGTACCCCTTTTTCAGGGTATATCAAAGCTCGATGTTTATGTCGAAGCCATTAAAGCCACGATCGAGGACACCATTCGAAAGAAAATTGGATAATCTTTTGGTTATTTTTTTTTTAATAATAGATGAAATCTTTCAGAATATATTGGAATTAGAAAATTGGTCCATTATTCTTTGGTCCACCGCGTACACGAATAACGAAGGAACTGTACCAGAAAATTGTCCTGCTTTCTCCAATTTTCTGAATTGGTGAAATTTCTGGAGAATTCCGGCAGAATTTCGTTTTGGTTATGTAGCAAAACTCTGATTAGCAAAACATTTCGAGTTAATTTTGCTTTTTAACGTTTTTATTTCACCTGCTGCGTGTTTTTGCTTGACGTCGAATCCTTCAGTTGACAGCACTGTGCGTCGCTGTCGAGGGAACAAAGTCCCAGCGAAGCAGCGATCCCAACACCGAAGCCAGCAGCAGCAGCATGTTGTCTTCAGACCCACAACAAGGCAAACGGGATAAGGAAGACGGAAGTCGGTATCGATCCCTGCGACCTGGCTCGAATAGACTCAGGTCACGACGGCCAGACGAGTACCGGGATACGTTCGGCGAGTCCCGCTTCCCGAGATCGAGGTACTTTCCAGACTACTACTCGGACATTTCGTCTTCCGGCGGCCCGAGCAGTTACGGGTACGCGAGACGGCCGCCGGTGGCGCCGCTGAACCGATTCTCCCGGAGGAGATTGGCGGCGCCCGTCCGACCGGCGAGTCGATACGGAAGCAGCAGGTGAATATGATTGAGAAATTGGTTTCGAAAGTTATTTTCCGAAAATTTGGATTTTGGTTCTATTTCATTTTTACTGCTTGCACTGCGCCTCGCGTCTGGCAATGTGAAAACCGAAGATTGTTTTTTGAAAAGCTCTCCTCGCTGGTAGATTTTAATATACAGTATACAGTACACACTTTTTTTTTCGTACGTAATGTGATGTTCCGAGGTCATATACACGCGGGATCGGCTTTCATTTCAATTCAATTTTAACTTCATCATAAACTCCTTAAAAGTTGAAACGTTTTTGGAAATGATTCTGAACGCCCCTAAATTTCGAGTACAGAACAACAAAAGACCTCAGGATCAAATCATTTTAAAAATATGCCCGTGACATTTTTTCATCATATCTCTGAGACCAATTCTTTCAGTGGGATTACAACCTTTTTAAAAATATTCCGAAGACTAGTTCATTTGTGCTTTTATTCTTTGCGATTTACTTGAATAAAAATTCAACGGTCGAGACGCAAGTTTCCGTATTCAATCAATGCATAAAAAGTTTGATTTTCTCCGTGAGGTCCGAAATTTATGACTGATTTTTTTCTTGCCATTTTTGAGGTTCCCCTAAAACTTCATTGTAGATAGTTTAGAATATGTTATACTGTATTAAGGTTCTCTAAACCGATGTTTTGGTCCCTTGAATTTCGTTTAGACTTAGAGAGTCTACTGTAGTAAGATTGGGGATGATTCTCAACCATTGCTGTGCCGTGCAAGCGGCACAACAACCAAAAAAACCGTGAAAAAGCTTTTGAAATCGCACAACAATACAGTACAGTACTGCTGTCAAATGTAGGGGGTAAATCAGTAGTGATTTAATAATACGAGCGTCACCTGTCCGTCATTCCGGAAAGAACGTTGAGCATTGAAAGGGAACGAGCAGAAAGAGGCTATACTCGCCGGTTCATTAAAAAATGTTATTTCAGAACACAAAGGTTGTTGATCGTCGATTTATAGCAAATACTGCATTGTCGTAGGGTTTTTAAATACAGTGGAAGTTTGATTAACTGGCCATCTGTATAATTTTAAAGAATATGATTTCGAAAATATAATTTTCAAAGATGAATTTTTAAATACAATGGAAGTTTGATTAACTAGCCATCTATATAATTTTAAAGGATGTGATTTCGAAAATATGACTTTCAAAGATGAATTTTTAAATACAGTGGAAGTTTGATTAACTGGCCATCTATATAATTTTAAAGAATATGATTTCGAAAATATAATTTTCAAAGATGAATTGTTAAATACAGTGGAAGTTTGATTAACTGGCCAGCTATATAATTTTAAAGAATATGATTTCGAAAATATAATTTTCAAAGATGAATTTTTAAATACAGTGGAAGTTTGATTAACTGGCCATCTATATAATTTTAAAGAACATGATTTCGAAAATATAATTTTCAAAGATGAATGCACGTTCTTTCTCAAGTATAGCAGCCCAATTACCGCGGAGACTTCAGTACTATTCCTTTTAATGAAACTCGGATAAGGAATTAAGCAGAGGAAAGACTACCTGATTTAATAACATGAAAAAAATAATAATTTTCAAAATTGTCTCACCCCCCGACAGGTACAGCAGCAGGTACGGAGACCCCGAGTCATCCCCATCCTCGTACTCCGAGCCCCATTACCGCCGATCATCAAAAAAGTCAAGCCGTCGAAGCAAGAAGTCCGACACCGACAGCGAAACCACAAACAACAACAACAACAATGAAGAAAACGGCGACTCCACGACGCAAGGACCCGTTGGGGAATCGGGCCACTACGAATCGACCAACGAAGGCAAAGGAAGCAGCGGGCGGAAAAGTACCCGGAAACTGGATCCCTTGCTGCGCCGCAGAGGCGGCCCTCGTCGTCGAGCCAACAACCGCCGCCGGGACACAGAGCGCCTCTACGACCAGCCGATCCGACGATTCGAGGACGGATCCCAGGCCCGATCCGACGCCTATTTCGCGCCGTTCAACCGTCGAGTCGCGGAACGGCTGGGATCCAAAACGATTTACAGTGCGAAACGATTCGGATTTCGGGGATAAAAGTGACGAAACAAAACTCTTTAAAAAAAAAAAAACAAAAGAAGGTAACCCTTCCGCATTCGCGAATTTGAATACCAAGAACAGTTGTTAAGCGAATGATTTTCAGCGGAGTCCTTTTTTGCGCGATTCTAGACTTGAGCAAAAAAAACTGTTCACTTGCACTCACCTCAGTTTTAGAAACAATTCATTTTCAGGCTCCTTGAAAATAACGTTGTAAAGTACCGTAATTTTTACGTCGGTTTTACCATGATACTCAGTATAGACGAAAAATCCGACGTTATGCTAAGAATATTGCTTGAGAAGCATTTAAGATTGAACAGTAGGACCAACAGGTGTTTCCTGTATGGAAAATACCACTGTACAATTTATGCAATTCAAAATTAAACCGATTTTGTTACGTTCGCGAAAGTTTCGGATGCTGGCTAAGCAAATTTTTTTCAATAATGCAATAGTAGGATCGGAAATTAGGAAATTGTAATGGGAAATAAGGATTCAACAAAAAATATTTTGATTGTAACCAATTGCTCCACTGATTCGAACCTCTTACGATTGATTAAAATGATCTCCAAACATATTCAAATGGTTTCTAGCGTTGATCCTCACATCATTTTTAATTTTTTCGGAAAATTGAACTTGGGTGCAAGTGAACATCCCCTTTTTTGTGGCGCAAGTATACATTTGCGAAAGAAATGAACCCACAAAAATCCGAAAAGCATCCGCTTAAAAGATGTTCCCAGTTATTATTATTTTTTTCCTTAGCGAATTTGGAATGGAACTGATTGAAACTCCGTCCCACCGTAATCCCGGGTCCGGATTCGAAGACAAAGTTTATCTTGTTGGTTGATTTTGCGAGTTTATTTGAGTGGTTTTATTTTGTTGTTGTTTGTTTTATTTGCGTGCATTACGCGTACGTTTGTCGGCATTTTGTAATTGTACCGAGGTCGATTCCGTGGCCTCTGAATGCTCAATTCCCAAGCAATTGTAGCATGTTGATATCATCTCTTTGCACGGTGATGATGATGCGAACGATACACGCCTTCCAAGACACTTGGCGAATGTCCTTCCAAAAAATACAGAAAATAAATAAAAGATTGAAATGCGTTCTAACCTCGTTCCTTTGCATTGCATATTTTACAGGGAATTCGACCCTGCAAGATGGATGACCTTGCTTCTAGAAGAATGTGAATATCGACATGCTATAAAATAACCATTATTTGACTTCACCATTTGAGCGAATTTCGCCCATGTAGACAAACGTGAGTGAAAAAAGGAGAAGATTTAAGATACAGTATTCGGAAATGACTAAAATTCACTTGAGGCGACACACGAAATATTAGAACGGTGACGAAAGAAACATAGGCCGGTATTTGAGTCTAAAATCTTGAAAATTCCATACATTTTTCACCTAATTATAATGTCCCTCACAAAACAGACAGCAAAATAAAATGCATCCGGATTACGCAAAACCTTGAAACAAATTAACTGTGCTCTGAATCCGAAACAATCAAAGAAAACGAAGCGTCTCAGCATAGGATTCTCAATTCATTTGCATTGCGTCCGTCAGAGTGGTGAATTTTAAAATGGATGCACGGTAAAATTAAATTTGAAAAATTATGAACAGAAATCCTGTACATGATTTCCAGAGGAACAATCAGCTGCAAATTTATCACAGCAATTTTAGAGGAAGGTTTAATGAGGAAATCTTGGAAGCAATTAGCTTCTCTTCGAGACATACAAGAATTTTGGTAATTTCAAGTCAAGATACGTTTAAATTCTTGATCCAGAGAATTTTTTTATTCAAATATAACTGCAGGCAAAGGCGTTCAATAGTTTTTTCAACAATGATTTATGTGGTACAGTATTGCATTTCTTGCTTATGCCCAATACTTTAATTGACTCACGAAACATGGAACGCTTTTATTAACATGATTTTCAATCGTAAATTAAGATAATTTTCAGGTCGGAGTTCGGTTTGTAAGGCTCAATTCCTGAAGAATTGAGTTCCGGAGAAAGTGCTCGCCGATTACTGCATTCAAGTGTCGACATTCGACTCCGTAACTCAATGTTCAATAACTTCAACAAAACCGAAAATATTGCAATATACAATACTATACAGCACATTCTTCAACGCTTGAAATCATGCTTTCAATAAAAATAACAAAAGGACTGTTTAATAAATTAGTGAGACCTAACGGATGTGACACAAAACTCACGGCATGCAGTGTGCAGAAAATTCAACGACCTCACGCAGAAGCGCAAATATAGAACAATACATTTTTTAAATATTTAATCGCTCAGCCTTACAAAAAGAAACCCACGAATCGCAATTGCTTAAATGTTTGGACGCATAACCATTATTCGTGGTTTTTCCCAGGACATGCGACGGCTTCCAACTGATTTCTCAGAATCCGGTTCACGAAACAAACCTTGCTTTTAACCGCTACACAGCACTGTACTGTACTCCAATTTAAGCATCAACCTCACCGGCCGATACATTCATTAGGACATCCAAAATCGGCCCCTTTTAAAAGATGGCCAGACGTCGTGGTTATAAGCCTCTAAAGCATCCTTGTGGTCAGTTGTGGAACATGGAGTGTTCCTCAGACAGGGAGCAATGATCGAATAACGAATTCCTGCCTCATCTCCGCGTCGTCGGGTTGATCAACATAAACCGGAATCAGCCCAATTTACGCCATCCCATCTCTATAACCGCTTGTTCATGCATCGTTACGGACTCGGAAAACATCCCGTTATGAAAAAATCTCGGGGGGAATGAGGGATGAATAACCATTCATCACATTGGATTTCGTCATTATTATTTGCTGATGGCTGCTGCTCAAATTGACGATTCAACTCGTCAGCTAAGGAGAAAGGCAGCACTTACGAACGTAGATGATGAATTCGTATACCTACATTATATAAAGGTGCTTTCTGGTTATTTCTGATTTGTCGAGAATGTTACTTTCGAACGAATTCGAATCTTCTAAAAATAAAGAATTATTATTTTTTCAATTTTGTCTTTAAAAAATACAATAGAACGTTTACGCAGCACATGAACAATCACGGACGATTCATGGTGGTCTTGGATGATTTTTAGTTGGTTCTTTGTACATACGTGTTCCTTTTTCGATGATTTTAGCTGGGATGTTTTCATAACTCAGTCATTTTCTTATGGGTTTTTTTTGTTTGCCCCGAACTTTCTTCGTTCGGGAGATTTCTTCATTCACTCGGTGCAAGAAAATAAAATGACAACCAAATGTTGGAGACTCGCCGAGAAATGTTTTTGAGTTCAATGATATTTTTTTAAAGCAGAACGATGTTCCAGATGATCCATCCAATTTTTCAGGGCCAAAAAAAGCATTAAAAAATGAAGAGAACTCCAGCAATGCCCCGAAGTTAAAATTTTCGAACATTTGTAGCGATCTCAGACGAACGGCATTTTTGTGAGGTAATTATACAAGGTTGATTTTTAAGTTCGAAGAGACTGATGAGGTTTCTGGACAAGTTCCTCAATCATGTTCAGGATAGGCTCGCTATAATTGGAGGGGAAATTCCTGACATCGTTTTCCGACAGCTTCGGTACAAATTTCCGATGGATTTTTAATGCGTGTCCTACTTGATTTCTAGGAGTAATACTCGAATAAAAAAAAATCTATAACAATTATATTCGGAAAAATACAGCACTGTGGATGTCTTAATATCTGAACTCGTGATCCACGCATTTGTTTTAGATAATCAAAGATCACTGACAAGCGAATAAATATTTTTTTAATATGTACTATTCATGCCGCACTTCCGCGTATAATGTCATCAAATTTTCTTGACAGCTGTACATGCTGTGAACTTTGAGTAACTCGTTTATTGGTCATTCCGTATACAGTACTGTAGCTTAATTCACAGTTCTGTGTATTCAATTGTGTATGTACTTGTTTTCTCCATTGACAGCTTTTTTCGCTGTTTTCGTCACTTCTGAACTTTCGGAAATTCCTGGTTGTTCCACTGATATCACATTAACCTCGATGATTTTTACGCTGACACATTTCACAATATTACCAAAAACCACGAAACGTATTTTTCCATGCAGAGGGAAAATACTGCTTCACAGTTGAGAGAAAAAAAAGGCACTCAATAAGTCAACGAATTATGAATTATTACGCTATTTTCATTGGAAAGCCATTACAGTATTTCCTTAATTTAGTTACATCGTTTCACAATCAACCACGAAAAATCATCATTATCGCCGAAATTTGTTTCAAATTCATTAAAATAATATTTTTCGAATTTGGTGGGCAGGGATCTAAATCGAGAAAACAGTTCGTTGAAAGCATTGATTTGTTGTAAAGAGATTCTTCGTGAAAATATTCTAATGTACAATATTATACAGGTCGCTTTCATAAGGAGTTGAAATTTAGACAACTTTAAGCGAACCCCAATCGCAGCTTATAATAAAATCGTGGAATAATGCGTCACTTTTAAATTGGAGTTCAGAATGAAACCAAAATAGAAATCTCGTTAAATTTCGAGAAAAACAGCAAATTTGATCTGCTCCGAAAAAGTTTTGGCTCTAAATTGAGGATTTCTATTCAATCTGACCTTGTTTCTCGCAACAAGTACTTCGACCGAGGTCTTGCTGAGTATCCACTTTCACTTCCACAGGACTTCCTGGAAAGGTGGTTAACCAGTACTTCGAAGTACTTTTTCCAGCGGCAAGGAGAATCCTTCGAAATGATCATTTGCCCGTATGAATAATTACGGGTAAATGAAAATCCCGCAAAAGATATTATTCCTTTTTCTCATGAGTAATTCAACAACTCATCACAAAGTCGATCCAGGAAATCGTTCTCGTCAGGAAATGATCATATGTACATGCAGTACTAATTTGCAGGGTTAAAAATTCATAATCATAAACCCGGAAAAGGGGGGAAATTAATGGAATTTTGCGATCTTATTGAATATTTTTGTCGGCACTTGACGAAATTTTTCAAAGAGACCTGGAATAAAAGTGAGGTACTTGAAACCCCATCTATAAATTCTGGTCTCCTTTGTTCATTGAAAAAAAAAAGATAGTGGCAAAACGAATACACGCGAATCTGGCTCGCTTCAAACTATGGATGAAAAACAGAGAGAGAGAGAGGATGAGAAGCGATCAGAACCCCAAGAAAAGGGAAAATGGATGCACCAGTACTTCGCAATCCTTCCAGTACTTTTTCCCCTTCAGTTCGGGTACGGAAAACCCTCCCCAAGGGAAACTGTTCACTGATC